CTTTAAAATTGTTTATATCGTCTGGAATTTATTTTATTAAATCCAATCCGAAGTGTACTAAAGTAAATCTTCCGGTATCCGCATTTCATTTCAGCGGTAGATGGACTACGCCTTGGGGGTAGTCCCAGGGTCAGCCGAGGTATCACCACAAGAGTTTAGGGTCACCGTGTTCACCAGTCGTCTGACGTTTTTGTCGGGGAAGCTTCAGCTGCTCTATCTGCTATAAGACCCTGGGCGTCGATCGGGTTAGGTGATGCCTGGCCATACTAAAAACTGCAAAGTTTTGACTTTTCAGGGTCCCAAAGATGCTTTTCAATCCAGGCCTCCTTCCCGTTGCTGTCCACCACGTCGCACCCCTAACTACGCCACTGCCCAGAGCGGCATTTGCTTCTGAACCAGAGACGACATTCAAGAAAAAAGATCCATCCAAAGAATAACGAATTTGTTTTTTCCCCCAAAGCCCTATGATTATGTCTTTTCTATTCAATTTTAATACCAACTGTCATTAAATACATCAATGTGAGGAAAATATATACCCTCAAGGATGTACATCCAAAATAGGAGGTTTGACACGAAAATAATCGAGATTTCACAATACTAAGGCAGCACTGATTGGCAGAGCTACTTTCATTATGGCCTGTCTACTTGCTCTGCCTATCAGTTCCCCCTTACTATTGTGTGTTATCAAACCTTTTTTGATGCAACACTCATGTCTTGGCCCCTTTTCAGTTAATTTCAGGCCAATTAATCCGTAAAGTTAGGGAATCCCTTTGTATTTATCAAATGTGGAAGGTATGTCTCAGACAAAGAATGGGTTCCTCTCAAGACCCGAGATCTCAAGAAGGATCTGGACATGGATATTCTCTGTAAGAGACCATTATGAGTGATGCCCTCACATTGCACTTTGGGTTTGTCGCTGCCGTATATCACACAAAGTATGGCATTTTTGACCTACTTAAGACACAACCCGGATTATGACTTTTTCTGCCCATGATGAATCCTGCACCAACGTCATCTTTCCGTCACTGCGATTATTGGATATTACACTTAAAACACGTATCAGCCCTCACGAGCCAAGAGGCCGATCCCTGCATTAGCCTGCGACTCACATTCTTTAGTCTATGCTGGGGACTTCAACCATCATACTATAATTATGGGGATGCCATGATGGCTGGGAATGACTGTAATACACAGAACGGTGACAGCAAAAGCAGTGAATGCTACCAGTTCAAATATTCTACGGCACCAGATGAACAATCCACGCCGGAAAAATCCGAAAAATAATATGAATCCACCTATTTTATTTGCTGCCTCTTCATGTACCCGGACATGGACTTTTAGGCCACCGTGGTGGGGTGGTAGTCCATCCACGTTGAGCCAGACACTAGATGTGTGATCTGATATTCCTTTTAACTGATGATTCATGAGTGTCATTCCAGCACTTGAACACTTCAGTAAGCCTATTTGCACATCAAAAATCCCTGTATGCAAAATAATTACATAATTGTTTAAACTCGACAATATTGTATACAAAGCATGATACGGTCACCCAATAGTTATTGTATAATTGTTGTCTACATAGTGATAAAAGTGGTCTGGCAAAACATGCAATTGAAATATAAAATTTGCAATTTGGTAAATTACCCCGGTGTGGTGGCTCAGACAGTGATGACAATGACTTCTGGAGCTAGGTTTGCCGGTGATGGCCAAACCAGGCAAGCTCCCCAAAATCTCTTGATGAGCTACCGGCATAAATAATACAGTACATACAAGTATATAAAAGACATGATAAAAACGTCTTCATTAGCATAATTACTAGTACAGTGGAACTGCAACATGTTTAAGTGCAAGAGAAAGCACGCTGCATTAAATCTAGAAAGCCTATACTTTCAACGTATAATTATAATCATGGAGAACAATGTTCGTCAAGCCCCAAGATGCTAAGCATTATAAGACCCACGTACATGTAGGTGCTGTGCATAACAGCGCATATGCCACACACGAGGTCTACCATATATGTACTATTAAAGGCCGTCACACCTTGACGACTTAGCTAGCGTATTCCGACGTAGAAAAAATTTGGTGAATACGTCGGCATACGCTGAACCTTTTTTTTTTTTTCAATTTTGGGCATATACATAACGCATTCATACCGAGTTGGACGTACACATAACGTATTACATGAAGTAACTTACATAAAACGTTTCTGTAGGCCTAACTTATAGATCACTTATGTACGGTAGGTGTAAGTTAGAAACACTTTCAGCAGGTTCTGTAGTCGTCCGGAAAACGTCAAATACGCATACACACGTCAATATGTGTTGGAGATAAGTTTGACATAGGTTATACATAGGTTGAAATCACGTTAGACATTATTTAGACGTATTTCGACTTATGAGTAACTTACAAGTTGAGTATGTGGGCGTGTGTCAACAATCCCCTACAGCTTACGGTCCGCGTATACGGGACGTATGGGCCATGCACTGGCATAATGTCAAAATTTTCGACAACCTCGCCGTACTATGACGTATAACAACGTGCTTCACCATGCCCATAACTTCTACAGAACTTGCCCAAAACTTATTCAACGTGCCCGGTACGGCAGTGTATTCACCAAAATTTTCATACGTTGGCGTACAATGGCTTAATCATCAAAGTGTAACAGGGCCTTTATGTAGAGCGTTGATGCAACGTTACATGTATTGTTTATACTTAACCTGTCCGACATATAGCTATCTAATGTGAAAGAATCCCACAAATGCGATAGAGAAACCGCTCCCCAAATGAATTAAAGTGCCATTAGCCTCAAGTATAAGACCAACAAATATGGTGGTCAGCGGTTACAATCATATAAGTCCAGTAAGCAACAAACTTTTTTTAACTGAGCGTTGCTCAGTTCGCAGCGGCAAGAAAGACCACACTGGAAAGTTCTCGAACACTCAACGCCCATATGTGCGTCCATGAGGCTTGACTAAACACATTGCCGCGCCACTTAAATTACCCTGAACCATTAAATCTATTGGAATTAACATGGATTATAAACAACACAGTGTTTACAAATTAGTAATTTATATTCGAGCATTAATTAACCTAGCTGAAGACATGAATGGTGAACTCAAGAAGACTATTGACTATTGACAAGAAGACTATGTTGACGCCCTGTCTGCGCAAGTCACAATATGGCTTGGGGGCTGCATAATTCATTAGCTTTCGCTCCTTCAGGGCGTTAACGAAACTACAAGCCACTACATTTACCTTCGCATTATTATATGTGATGTGATATGTGAAGCCCTTCTCATGGTGAGCTTTTGTCATTTAGAATCATATCAACTTCCAATTAATATGGACACACTTTTGTTTTCAGATATATTCCAGTGATGTTTCTTGATCGTCTACAACATGAATCTCGGTTGTCTAGAATCAAAATTCAACAGTTTTGAAAACAGGGCAGTGCCCAGATTTATTTGAAGTCGATATGCACCACAATGACAAAGTCTACCATATATAATGGGTTTCGGAGATCACATCACAAAATGAGAATTTTGACAGGCTGCACAGCTGTTGTGCCCTAAGCCAGTCCCGATTAATGTTTTTGAACTGAGGGGAGCTGTTTAACCGCCATACAGGCACTATTTAAACAAAGAGTTATCTCAATACCCCATACCAGGTCTGACAAGATTCGCAAGGCAAGGTCAGGCAAGACTGATCCAAATGTCAACTGTTATACTCTGGACTTGATTCAGGAAAATCTTAAAAGAAAATAAATTTCCTGCAACACTGAGCAGAGATTCCTCACTTTCAAACGTAAAGAAAAATTCATGTGAAATTGTGCTGAAGTGGTGGGCGCCGTCGTTACAAAAGTTGTTTTCGCAACATATCGGATCATCAACTTATAAATAATCCACTAATTAAAGATACAAAAAAATTATAATCTGCACATTAATCTTTGATTCAGCTGAACAAATAATTGAGAGTACGATGTTTGCTGACAAGTTCAGATAGTGAAAGTTGTTCTGATCGCTTTGCATCACCTACTCTGCTCCAAGTCAAGGTTGCATCATTGTTTTCTTGCGATTCGTGACTGCTCGAAACTGCTCGTGGGGCTTCTCCAGAAAATCTAGTCAGTCAGCACGTAATTCGAAAAAAATTGAGAAATGTCCTTTTATAACTGCAGGTTTTGTAGGAAGTATTCTGCAGTCATTGCAGTTATTTTTTTTCTGCGGGATATGGATTCGGGGACTTTTGATTATAAGTAACAAGTTTATTTTCATGACCACTGCCTATGATTCTATATGTAATTTAATGAACTATAAAAAATACAAGAATTGTAATACTTTTAAAAGCTGTTTTATTCCATTAAAAATAAACTGTTGTATTGTATATTCCCTCCGAATGTGTACCCGCAAATTCTTCACTTACAAACATTAGTGGCTATTTTATCTCTGCGAAAAGAAAATCAGCTTTATAGAATTATCCTCTTAAAATAAAGATTATACTAGGGTTAGAAAAATAACAGATTTAAAATAAGAAATATCGGAAATTACAAAGGATTGTCTCGGTTGTTTGATTTGAACCATAGTTCTATAAAAGATTGCATCAGTCGTAACCCTCCCAGTTGAAAGTCTTCCCCTTGATTGCTGTACGCCCTCTTAAAAAGGTTAGTTAGTCTTGGTGTATTTTCTAAGGATATTCTTCCAAAAACAATTCTGCCAAATTCTTCGTGACTGTAACTATAAAAACATTTCCAGATGCAGTCCGCTATGAGGTGAAATTGCATATTTTTTGAGCTCCAACATTACTTTGTTTGAGGACAAATGCACAAGCTCAGAATAACTGGTTCTCAATTTAAAAAGAAGGGAATATAGGTGCTCTAAAGACTGGTAGTAAATTGGGAGCAATTTTTATTGCTGCTACTCTGCAAGAAAACTGACGAAATTTTTCATTAACACCCGTCGGCTTTCGCACACTTTGTTGTTTAGTGTAATTTGCTGATATTTCAGATGAAAATCTTGTGTTTACTGGCTCTCCTGATTGGCTCTGCGGTGGGTCAATGGGAGCCCAATACTGCTTATAACAGACAAGTGATAGTTCACCTATTCGAGTGGAAATGGACTGACATTGCTGAGGAATGCGAGAGGTAAGTCAACTTCCGAGCACACCCTTACCGACCCATACCATTTTGTGAAGGCCAATTCTACTTTAGAAGGTTCTGCATTTTGTTTCTGTTCTGTGTTTTGTGTATTTTCTGATTTCCTCCTTGTTTCCTCCTTGTTTGAAATTTGTTACTCTGAACCTTGTAACCACCGTATCTTCAACGAAGAAAAATTTCATTTGACATAGGGATTTGATGTCTCAATTTAGCCTTAATTCTGTTGATTAAAGCAAACAACCTTTTGAATTTGGTAACTGAGTGGTGACAAAAAGTTTTTCCCCGTTCTCTTTCCATTGAACGTTTCAACCCCCCCCCAAAAAAACCCTTAAATGCACGTCATACAACAAACGAAGCTATTAAATGGAATGACATTGATTAAACTGTTGAGCCGTGTTATTTCAAGGGTAATTTTCAAATTACATTTTCAATTTAACAGACCTATTGAAGTATGATATGCATTTAGTTGTTCAGCTGGGTTAAAGTATTTTCGTAAGCTGTTAGCAACTTTGTCATTCATGTTATGAGTCACAATTGGCAGGCAGGGTAGAAACAGCTTTGTAATGATGAAAAACTATACAGAAGCACACTGGGCAACAAATTTGGGTTACTTTACTCGAATACAAGTGTAACCCCAAGACTGAGACAACAAGTTGTGTCAAACTGCCAAAAAATGGGCCAAATCACCTGCGTTTAAGCACTCTAAAATAGTTCTCCTTCTCCGGATTCTCTAGATACCTTGCACCGAATGGTTTCGGTGGTGTCCAGATTTCCCCACCGTCCGAGCACCGTGAGGTGTGGAGTCCTTGGCGACCGTGGTGGGAGCGCTACCAGCCTGTCAGTTACAAGCTGACCAGTCGGTCCGGCCCGGAAAGCCAGCTACGGGACATGGTCAAGAGATGCAACAACGTGGGCGTCAGAATTTACGTGGACGCCGTCATCAATCACATGGGAGCCGGAGGTAAGTTTGTTCGCGTCTTTTACAGAACACTTCTCTTAAGACTATCTGACTACAGAGCCTGACACATCAGCACATACAGGTCTCTCTGTTAAAGGTATTTGAGGTTGTTGCTTCAAACCTCTAATAGTTTACGCTTCTGCTCTGCATGCAGGCCTACAAAGCTTCAAATCATACATGCAGTTAAGCTATGACAAACTTTAGTCCAGGTGATATAAAGGCCGGTTCATCATTTAGCGCAATGCGAACAAGAACACTAAACCGTGACGTCAGATTAAATAGTAGCGCTACGAATTCACAGACTTTTAACACATTAAAACTCAAGCTTATTTCACTGCAAATAATACGCAACATCGAATTCCGTTCACTTCCTGGTGGTCCGAGGAATGAGCCGACTTTTTATTCTATACACACAAGGTTTTCAACAGTTGAAGGTGCATATTTTTATGTTCTCCTGTTTATATGAGGGTTGAGTATTTTAGAATTCACAGGGTACCCAAGAAAAATTGCAAAACGTGTGCAAGAGTGTAAATGCATATTTTAGGGCAACTTTGTTTTAAAATTGGATGTGTCGAAACGCCTTTTTGCCAGACAACCAACACAATATTATTAAGCACTTGTATCTTATCAGAAACTAGAGTTTAAGGATGGAGATCGAACGGGATTCACAATGTGTTTTCCTGAATGAATTTGCTTGCTATCGATTGGAAATTGGGTTTGGTGTATGATTTTCCATGTACACAGACTCTGGAACCGGTACGGCAGGCAGTTGGTATGACGTTGGGACGTTGAGCTACCCCGGAGTACCGTACAGTAGCCTCGACTTCAACGTACCAAACGGAAAATGTAACTCTGGCAATGGAGACATCCAGAGCTACCAAGACGTCATTCAGGTCCGCAACTGTAACCTCGTGGGTCTGCCAGACCTTGATATCTCCAAGTCGTACGTGAGGTCCAAGATCGTGGGCTACCTGAATGAACTGATCGACATCGGTGTGGCCGGTTTCCGCGTCGACGCTTGCAAGCACATGTGGCCCGGAGACCTGAATGCCCTCTCCGGGTCACTGAATGACCTGAACACGGCTTACTTCTCAGTAGGATCCCGGCCGTTCATCTTCCAGGAGGTCATCGACCAGGGCGGGGAGCCCATCACAGCGGGCGAGTACACCGCATACGGCCGGGTGACTGAGTTCAAGTACGGGTTGAGACTGGGGGAGGCCATGAGAGGCTACAACAAGTTGACTTACTTCAGCAACTTCGGAGAGGCTTGGGGCATGCTCGCCGATACCTCGGCCTTGGTCTTCGTAGATAATCATGACAATCAGCGCGGCCATGGTGGAGGTGGAAACATCATCACCTTTGAAAACCCACGCCTTTACAAGATGGCCAATGCCTTCATGCTCGCCTTCCCTTACGGCATCACGCGTGTTATGAGCAGCTTCTACTTTAATCACGACACTGATGCAGGTCCACCGGCTGACGAGAACGGGAACACGCAGTCCGTTACCATCAACGCAGACGGTACATGTGGCAACGGCTGGGTGTGCGAGCATCGCTGGAGACAGATCAAGAACATGATAGGTTTCCGTAATGTCGCAGCTGGCCAGCCGCTTTCCAACTGGTGGAGCAATGGTAACCAGCAGATCGCCTTTGGCCGCGGTGATAAGGCCTTTATCGCCATCAACAACGACGGCCACACCTTGTCTGAGACTCTATACACCGGAATGCCGTCTGGAGAGTACTGTAACATTATTCTGGGTGACTTTGACTCTTCGTCAGGTTCCTGCAGCGGACCCACTATCCATGTTGATGGGTCCGGCTACGCATACTTCAACGTGGATACCGGAGACGACCCTGTAGCGGCTATTCACACCAAGGCTAAAGTTGGTGACTCCAGTGGTTCCCCAGTCAACCCAATCGACCATATCAATCCAGGAAACCCCACTGGCAGCCAGCGCACTGTCATTTTTATCAAGAAGCATACAATCATAGGTCAAGACCTCTTCATCCGTGGTGGGATCGACCACACCAAGAGAGGCGGTTGCACGTCCAACGCAGACACCAGTGCTTGCGCCTTACCCATCCATCACAACATTGGGGGTACCAACACCAAGTTCAACGCCTGGAAGTCAGGAGACGATTTCCTGGACTGGTACGGTGCAGAGAGTGACCAGAGCAGCTACGAAGGAAGGACGGCCGACGGTACACCCCTCGTCTGGACGACAAACAACCCAACCAACGGAGGCAACGTTGAGGCCGACGGCTACGGATACACGCCCTTGAACAAGTGGGGCGATCACTACTGGATGGTGGACCTTAACGTGGACTGTGACCAGACAGAGGCTGGTTGGTTTGAGATCAAGGCCTACCTGAAGAATGGAGCTGGCTGGGAGAGCGACATCTGGCAGGGTTCATGCTCAGGATCGGCAGGCGGGAGCAAACCATACTCAAGTAACAACCATTTCGCCAGATGCGGCTACTTGAACATGTTCGACTTTGGCTCAAATTCATGTACCATAGAAAATTTGTAGACTGCGGGAACAATTCAATAAACATGATCTCTAATTTCTCAAGGGTAATGCATTTTTCTAAAGACTGGAAGATTATTTTTCCAAAAGATGTGCATTATCGAAGAAATACAGTATATACATCAAAATTTTTGCCGCAAGTGACGGGAAAATCCCCCAATGGAGAATACAACTTTATTTAACTTGAGTTATTTTTTTCTTGGACATAAAAATTCAAATTGCAATTCTAGCTATTCAATCCTTGAGACTAATTTATCAGAATAATGCAACCAAAACCGAAGGTATTTGCGACTTAGTACCGATTCTATAATACAAAGCTCTTACAAAAACATCGATGTCAGACCTACATGTACATTACAATGCAGTTAGCAAACAAAATCAATTAGCAAACAAAATAAAGAGCCATCCCTACATTTCCCGTTTTTCTCTGTGTTAAAGTGTCCTTGTGTAGGGAGGTCCCACGTGACGAAATTAAGGATGTAATTTTGTGGGCTTTTTTAATTATCGATATTTTTCATAATTGCTGTGCTTTCGTATATTATCTCTGTTTTAAAAAATGTAGACATTGTGCTCACTCAGTGCCGCCTCTGCTGGAGTTAATTGAAAAACTCACTGGAGGTGAAGCACAACAAACGAACTTCAACTCATATAAATTTCCTTTCGTGTAATGTGTATTCTCTCGTCGTCCAGCGCCCGAACGGTAGGTGGAAAAGGTGGCCACGACGTAAGTCATGTGCATATTTTGCTCAGGACGCATAAAGTACGTACTGTACACATTCTGAGCATTGAAGGGTTACAAAAATAGAAAACATTTAGTTCACATGAAGAATTTCAAAATAACAAAATAGTCGGTGTTTGCCTGTTGGCCAAGCTACATCAAACACTACTTGGTCTATTACGTGCGATACTGCATGTATCATCTGGCGATGAAGTCATCTAATCAGGCTGGGAGTGCGAACGGCAAAAACGGGATTTTTTGTTGGCGGGGAAACACGGATCTTTTTATTCATTTTGGGGTCACAATAAATGTTTTGAAATGGTTACGTATTTATTGTTATTTTGAAATACTTCACGCGAACTACATGTTTTCCATCTCTGTAATCTTTAATATGCATGTGACGCACGTCGTTCTACGTGGCCTCCTTTTCCGTCTACCGGTTCGAACAGGGCGCTGGGAAGGGCTGATGGTTTGCACCGTGATTGCCTACATTGTGCACGACCTGTGACCATGTTGTCATAACTTCCTTTTTTTAGTGAAGCGTTATTTAAATGTTTTGGTTTGCCACTAGATCTAGGTGGCAAGAAGAGTGAGCGAGCCATTGAAAACGTACAGGGGTTCGATTTTGATACTTTTCTCTCAGGTTTTCCAGTTTTGTTCATTTTTTTCTCCAGAAAATTCCGTAAAATCCTTTTGTTATTAGTTTCTGGTCTGAGGGGAATTTTTAGTACTCTGTAAAAAGACTTTACAATCGTGAATGTTCCTGTGTGCTCGAGATTGCCGTATCTAAGCCGGTCTCCTTTCGTGCTGTTTTATATAGCATGCGTGAATAATTATGACCTAATCCGTGAAAAAGTCTATTGCAATGCTTTGGCAGGGGAAAAGTATTAGTTAGGCCTACATGATAAAATATGGCCGTGGTATAATTTCAGTGTGGTAATTTACCTTCTCACTTTGTATCAATGATCACGTGTCTTTTTTCGATGTATTTATCGCTTAACGTGATAAATTTCATAAATGAATTCATTCATCCAAATTTATCACGATAACCGAGTGTAATGAGAATGTTTTCAGCAGTGAGGAAGAAAAAGAAAAATATCAAACTGATAACCGCCGCTTGTGTAACGCATTGAGCGAGCTCGGACGCCTTGCAGAAGCCTTTACCCACAATGCTCTGTGCGTCGTTAGCTGTGACCCCGTGTGACGTATTTCCTTCACTAAGACCTATTGTGCAGGGCCATCAGCCCTTCCGCGCCCAGAGCTCTGTTTGTAATGGTATGTAATTTTGAATGGGGCCTATGGCTCGTTATATGAGTTTTATATTATTAAGATTATTTAGTCGTAGATCTCAGGACTGCTCACTGAGTTGAATTGTTTACCGGTCAAATATTGTAATTCGTTATAATACTGAGACAGCATGGGCTGCAGGGCAGTGTCTGCCCCATACTCATAGGTAACTTTCCAAGTTTTGTTGTGGTTTGCATGGCTTTTTTTCACCACTTAATGGAATATTTGTAAATGTTTTATTTCCGTTGTTTTTATCTGCTTGTGACTATAGACTAGTTTGGTCGTGGTTAGGCTGGAGGTGATAAAGATTTTCCAGAAGGCGATATTTGGAAGTTGATTTAGGGAGTGCATGTACTGCGGTGAAAGGCACAAGGATTTTTGTGCCTCATGTATCAGTAGCATACTTGTGGCGTGACCACGTGAAATCGGGGCCAAGTTCGATCAAGGACCATAGATACCAAAACTAACGCACGCTAGTCGACGACGGTTGGACTAATCTACTCAACTATTTGCGACCAGCCTACCGAGGTTGGTTGCATCGTTGATTGCCATAAACCGTTATTAGTAGCATAGTGCAGAGAGGACTAGTTATGAGAAAAATGCCGGGAAGGCAGTATGTCACAAGAAAACGACTATTTTCACTTTTATCTTCGCCTACTTTGCGCTTCCTTAAGCTCTTTTTTCTGCATCGGCCTAGCGACCTGACAACGGTTGACTAGGGTAGTTCGCACTTCAACTTAACTGCACATGCCCTGGGTACGTCAACCATTAGTTTACTGGTAGTCCTTGACCGGACTTGCCCCTGCCTGCACAGGCGAAGGGCATGTGGAGGATTGGTCTTAAGTCTTTAGGTTTTTATGACAGTTGCGAATAATTCAGTTGGAAATGGATTATTGTAAAATGAGGGTTATTAACTGATTTTTTTCTTGTGTTAGACTAGGATGTCTCTGTAGGTGAGTTTTGGTCAGCCAGCTGCCGGGGTTGGCCTGGTTGCCTTTGTAAACACACTGTAGCTGAATTTCAGGTTGTACTGGGTTATATTTATTAAGTCTACCTTCAATACTTTCAAATTTTCTGCGAGTTGCAAGTCTTCAATCTGCTTGGTTGAAACTGAAACCAATGAATGTCTACCCCATTGTCACATGCTGGGTCCTGGACCACAGACAATAAAGCAGCAAATCGCAAATCGCAGCAGTAAGTGCTGACATTGAACGCAGTCAGTCCTTGGCAGTTCACCAACCCACCAAACCCCTGCTCTCCGACCCTCAGAACCTGCGTGCTCTCTTCCCAGCACCCTGGAGTGTAGAGTCTACCCGTCAGGCACAACTCCCTTCCTCCCCGCAGAAACCCAGCTGGTCGCCCTCACACTTGCCGTGAATTTTTCTAAGACACATTTTTCTGCAATTTTATCCTATTCACTCATGAAACTATTTGACATCTCATGCATTTGACATGTATTGAAAGGTGCACATTTTTTAACTTTAAAATTATACGTACTTTCCCGGAAAACTAAGGGTGCTGTGGCTGTGATGTCTTTCAAGGAAGATATAGTTCATTACACACAGGTTTTTGTTTAAAGTTCGAACCAAGAATCTCCTGAATTGAAACATTTCTGAGAAAGGTTTGATCGCTTGCTTATTGCTACATCCTTACACAGCAACGATTTACCAATAGGAAATCTGTACCAGCAAAACGTTTGAAAATGCAGTTTCTTTTTGCACAAAGCAATGTAACATTTAGGTTTTCCTTCCCGGAGTGACATCACAGAGTTTCTCATTGATAAGGAAATACTCTTTAGTATAAAAATCAACCGGCAACAAACGATCTTTTATAAATAAGAAATGAAAATGAGGTTATCAGAGACACAATGGTACCCTGTGGGGTTTGTATTAAAAAGTCTGGTGCTGCTACCCTTGAGCACAAAAATTCCTGATTATAACTACTGGAGTTGTTTGACTGACATGGTTATCAAGAAACAATTGAATGCCGCCAATTCTCGCAGTCAAATCAGCTATCAATTCCAACTGCTCTTTTCCCAGTATACAAAGTTCAACAGCAGAAAATACTCTTGTTTCTAATGTGACTACAAATCCATACAATAAGACAGAATAATTTTTAAGATGACTCAAATCCCCTTGTCGTGCGCACTTCCTGCTGCGTACAAGGTAGTTTAACGTATCTCAATTACAGACTTAATGAATGAATCTAAAATACGAGGGCAGCTCTTAAAATACACAGTCATCTTGGGAAAGTCAATCCTTCCCCTCTTTAAAGTTTAAGTGTGTTGTTTAAAAATCATCCCGTTGAGTTTTTCTTCCTTCAATTTACTCTTAGGAGAACTCAGAAAAAAAAAGATTGGCACCGAACATCACTACCGCAAGACAAAGCAAATGAAGACTTCTCAGTCTACCCTGAACCTTTCCGACTTGATACAGACTTGATAGAGTATCACAGGACAAATTACGGAGCTGTCTGGTCAGTTAATCTAATAAAACCGCTGCCAAAAATCACATGGTATTGTAAGACCCCTTAAATGAGGGTAAACCAGTAAATATGCTCTGTATGCGATGGGTTTCACCAGACTAAAGATCATCAGCTGTTTCAGACGCAGCATAAGAGGCAAGACTGTGAGAGGATACGAGACCACTGTCCAAGGGAACTTCCAATCCTCTGCAACCCCAACTTAAGAATTGAAACAAAACGTGGCGGGTCAATATATGAAACGAAGTTATAAAGCATTGACGACCAATGTTTGCTGTAAACGGTTTAGTGCACTTTATTCTAACTTGATAAATGACAAGGAAATGCATTGTTTTTCAAGACAAACTAGTGGCTGTTACCTGTGTTGCAAGTGGATAGTCAAAAGTAAAAAAGTCGCTATTAAAAATGATAATAAGATGATTTTCCAGTCTACAGATGCCTGATTATGTTTTGTACAAGTCCATTACTGCAAGATACACTGCTCATTGTCAATTCCCGATAGCCTACGCGCGATATCTTTCCTCAAAAATGAATTTTTCCAGTTTCAATACTGGCAGTTCACAATAGTGCGCCTCGAAGAGTTAGCAACGCGTTGTCCAATCACAACGGGCGAAATTTGTCGACCCTTTCCAAGCGCGCACTGGGTCGACAAATTTCGCGCAAGGTGATTGACCAAGGCGTTGTAAACTCTTGGAGGCACACTATTGTGAAACGCCCGTATTTACTCTTTACCGTTTACAATGAGCTCTAAAAATACGTTTGCAAATCCAGATTACCAGAAAAACCAGCACCTATACAGGACAATGAGTCTGACGTCATATCAATAAACATGGTGGATGGACGGCCACCCAGCTCGTGCAAAAGTTATTAAATCTATCAAGTATATATATCATGGAGGTCGTTGTTTGATGGATGCCGTGCTGAGACTGTGCATTCCGGCCAATCAGCGCTCTCGTCGGAAACGACGCGACGTCACGGTCAGGCTGCAACGTCATTGGTGTTGTACAAAGGTAAACACCGAACGGGTTTCAGCTCCTGTACAAACGTGAAAAATCGAATGACATTATCGCTTTCTGTTACCGTGCCTTTGTGTAAATGGGTCTTTCAGGATATTTAGTTTTGTCCTTTGTAACCCTATGAATAGACTCGGTTTCAGTGCTTTACCCAGCCACAGAGCAAGAAGGAGACCAACTGTTTATTTTGGGTTCACTTTTCAAATCCTTTCTCTTCGTACAAGGTCCGCAGATTTGTCCGCCCAGTACACGTACATCTTGCAGCCATATACACCTGGATTTTCCCGCTAAATGGGATGGCCCCCACATGGTCGTCTACAAAATTCTTTTGAAACTTTCGGCTTCAGTTGGACTGGACCAGTAGAGTTTAGGTTAGTCTGACACTCAGTATATTGATTTTGTAATGGCTGTGTTCGCACATTTTATTTTTCAGTGTCAATTCGTTAGCAATGTTATCAAAGCCTTTACGTGGGCTTTTGTTTCAAATACGTATCAAAACCCATTGCGCATTTGCAGTACTCCCATCACAAACCCTCACCATTGTGATATTTTTGTGTCTTGTCTCTCGTTAACGTGCATCATTTGCTCTTGCCCAGTCCACTTTTTAAGTCCAAAATAGCATCTGCAAACTCTCCAAATATTTGTAAGATGTCGGCAGTAGTACATAGCAGAGTTGATATTGTTTCATGAGTCCAAAGTTAAAAATAACAACTGTCGTAAAATTGTTCAATCGCACATTTAGCATTTATGCACGTATAACGTCTTTTTATTCGACAGCAGAGACTGCATTTTTAATGTTCAATATGTTTTTTGGAGAGCACATTCTTAATTATTACGTTAACTTACCTACAGATTTGCTTATGAAGTTTCGATAACTTGCGAAGTGTTTCGTTTTTTGTTATACGTTAATTAAGAATATTAATTTTGAGTATACTATCACACTTAATCCTCCTTTTTTCGTTCGCACAGAATTGCTGATCTTAAGTAGGATCCGATTTCTGTATTGTGTATAGCGAGTGGATGTCCATTCATACGTCGATAGGGTTTATTGAAGGATTTTGGACTACGGTTTTTTGAACTCGGATGCGAACCAGGAAGATATGCATGAGGAGCACTGCTTAACACCCTTGAATCTACCGAGAAACTACATATTCGGGGACCCTGGAATCGAGGTTGACTCTCCAAGGACTGCACAACCCATTCGCTCGTCGCCCAGCGCCTGGACAGGGCGCTGAGAATGACTTTGTACAGATTTTAGTGAAGGTAATACGTCACATGGGTCAGAGCTAGTGATGCGCAGATCATTGTGGGTAAATTTCTGCCAGGTGCTCAAGCTCACAAACGCGGTGGTTAACAATTCGATATTTTTCCTTTATCTTCCCCATTGCTGAGAATATTCTCACAATCCTTTATTCGCTTATCCAAATTTGATCAAACTAACTGATCGATTTGAAGCATATATCACCCAACATATCGCCAGAAGACATGTGATCAGTGACACTTTATTGAGAAAATAAATAGATGGTACAACACTTTTGCCCCAAACCGTGCATATCATCACATTAGCATTAAAATAAAATAAAATAAAAGGCTGTAGCCTTAGAAATGCCTGCTACATAATAGGATGTGGTTCCATCGTCAACGCACCATGATTAATTGAAGTTATACATAACATGAGGCAGACATTATTAATTTATTCAGTTTGATGATTGACAACAAGCACAGATCAGTTTGATGATATGTACAGAGATGAAGTTGTTTGTACTATTGCTGGTTAATATAGTTGGTGGTTACAGTTGGTGGTGGTTCACTGCATCGATAAACATTAAAACAATCATGAGAAACAATTTCATTACCCTACAGAAATAAATACAGTTCGCATCTTGATGATGTCATGTCGTACCGTGTCCAACTAAAGTCGTCCAACCACTAAGCACATACGACCCTTTACTCAAATCTGCCGAAGAAAATTTACTCATAAATCCCTCATATTCATCATAAATTTCCACCTTAAATAAACCTCTAAACCTGCCAATTGTGTTGAACCAAATATCATTTGAATTGGGACATTATTACCTTGTTAATCTTATAATGATTTTGGGAAAGTTACGGTACATTGGAATTAAATTGAGAAACATCGGAATCATGAGGTATTTTTACCTTTGACTTAAAAGTTATACATCAATAGAGGGCGCCCTAAAGACTCACTGGTGGAACATTTTACTGATGAAATAACCTCGCATTGTTAATCACAAAGGGAAATGCTGCAAAATCAGAATAACAAGCAAGAATTACATAACATCAAAAACAAACAATTTGCCGCTACATACCCGGCCCCATGAACAGGCACATTCTGTTCATTCTTGTAAACCCTTAAGCGGCAAACCTTAAACTTGAAAACACTAGAAGTAAAACAAACCACTGCTACTTGCAATGCAAAGAAACCATAAATTACATGATCGATTTTCAACTTCAGTCTCACTTAATTGATAGCCTTAATTGACGTAACATGTGATTTACATACGCATATAGCACTACATATGGCACTAGAGTTCAAGCACAATTGTTCTTGGCTGTTGAAATCTCACACACCGCTGGGCTTCTCCAAGAAACAAAGCTTGACAATGGGGCACCTGAGGTACTTATTGCCTACTCTCACCTCCACTTTGCGAACCTTTCCTGACTTATCTGGGTAGATTTGCGTCACTGTTCCAAGTGGCCACCGTCCACGGGCTTCACCGTCAGCAGCAACTAGCACCAGGTCCTTCACCTCCAGATGTTGCTTGGTCTGGGTCCATTTCTGAAGCTGCTGCAGAAGTGGTAGGTACTCCCCTTTCCACCGCCTCCAGAATTGGTCTGCCAAGAACTGTACCTGACACCATCTGCGCTGCCTATAACCATCTGCCCGCCCAAATACTGCTGGTGGAATGTTGGGACTCGATCTCATCAGAAGAAGATGTTTCGTTGTCAATGGCTCATCATCTCTAGGGTCCAAGCTGAGTTGGGTGAGCGGTCTCGCATTCAAAGTAGCTTCCACTTCAGCCATTACTGTAAGTAGTATTTCATCACACACCACTTGTTCTTGAAGTAGATTCTTCAGGATCTTACGAATGGAACGCACCATCCGTTCCCATACACCTCCCATATGGCTTGCAGTTGGTGGATTGAATTGCCATTCAACTGCATGCTGATGAAGAAAGTCTCCAATCCTTTGCTGGTTCAGGGATGTGATACCTTCTCGAAGCTCACGCTATCCCGTCGTGAAGTTGGTGCCATTGTCACTTATGATTTTTTTCTAGTGCACCTCTCCTGATGATGAACCGCCGAAGGGCATTTATGAATGCGTCTGTGTCAAGTGAATGAGCAATCTCCATATGTACAGCTCTCACAGCAAGGCAGGTGAAAATACATCCATATCTTTTGACATGACTGCCCCCCTGTTTCACGTAAAGTGGGCCAAAATAATCCACTCTAACACACGTAAAGGGTGGCTTCTCTGGGTTGGGTCTCTGGGGTAACTCTTTCTGCTGGCAGTTCAGCCATCAACTGTTGACACAGGGGTACGTTCCACTTCTTGCATTGGAAACACCTTCCAATTACTTGCCTCACAGTTGATCCTCCCTTCAGCACGCAAACCTCTCTCTAATTGACGTCCAGGTCACACCAACCCCAGAATGACCGACCTTAAGATGGTGGTGTTCAATCAGCAGCCTTGTCACCTGGTGATTACTTGGTAGAATGATTGGATGTTTAACGTCCTGGTGCAATTGTGCATTCTCAAGACGACCACCTACATGCAGAATGCCATTAACCGAAATTGGATTCAATTTATGGAATGCACCTGGAACCTTCTTACTCTTCTTGATGAGTCTCTCAACCTTTTCTGTTTGAGCGTTAAGTGAGGCAATCTCTCTGGGGAAAGATTGTCGTTGAACATACTTGACGATTTCCATTTCAGCTCTCTGCAGCTCTGATAAGGACAGCATGTTACTCCTGTCAATGCCCTCCGGACTCCCTTTGGTGCTGGCCCTCAGATAATCCCGATACCTCAGCAGCCAGGCGACTCCACGCTTCATTCTAATCCAAGGTGAATATCTGTCAAGTAACTTCTCTATGCCGCTCTTCACAGCTACAGAGAAAGACTGGGCAACCTTCTTCGCCTCAGGATCACTCTGCAAAGTATCTGGTAGTACATCTGGGTAGGGCCCCTTGATAACAACTAGTGGGAGTGGCTACTGCTCTTCATCCTTCCACAGGAACTCCGGTCCATGCAGCCAGCGCTGGTCCCTAATCATTTCATCTGCAGTCAATCCTCGAGAGCCATCATCAGCTGGGTGGCTGGCAGAGTCTACATATCGCCACTGGGAGGGGTCTGATACATTCTGTATTCTGGAAACACGGTTGGCTACAAATGCGTGAAATCTTCGACTCTCATTTTGAATGTACTGAAGAACTGATGTAGAGTCTGTCCAGTATACAGTCTCCATAACTGGCAGTCTCATTTCCCTCAGGATTAGCTGATTCAACTCCACGGCCAGAACTGCAGCAGACAACTCCAGTCGGGGAATTGTGACCTGTTTCATTGGACATAACCGTGCCTTCCCGATGACAAACGCACAATGGATCTTTCCTCGCACGTCAACAGCACGCAGATATGATACAGCAGCATAACCCCACTATGAAGCATCGGAAAAATGGTGAAGCTGAAAGACAGTAATTTCATTAATTCCCTTCGGCTGAAGACATCTGCCGATGATAATTCTTGTCAGCCTTGGTAGATCATCCAGCCACCGCTTCCACCTCATCATTTCACTGCTCGATCTTCTCATCCCAGCCACGACCCTGGCGGCAAATGTCTTGAAGGAGAATTTTTGCTGGTAGGATGAATGGTGCAAGGAAGCCAAAGGGGTCGTACAATGAACTGTTTCAAACCCAAGCTTATCGGCCTCCACATCCCACTTCACACCCAAGGTACGCTCTATTGGCAGATGATCAAAATCTAACTTCAGTACTGATTGGGCTCTCTCCTCAACAGGGATTGCCTCCGTCACCTCACGACTGTTACAGACCCACTTCGTCAATCTGACTCCTCCCTTGGCTAAAAACTCCATTAGTTGATTGGCTAACCTGATGACTTCGTCCTCTGTTTTCACTGGCACAAGACGGTCACCTACATAGAAATTCTCTTGGACCGCTGTGACTGTTTCCTCGTCGAAATTTTCTGGGTTGTCTTCAGCTGTTCTTCTAAGGCAAAATCCGGCACAGCCAGGCGATGATGTTGCTCCATATAGATGCACCAGCATCTGATGGTTAGTCGGTTCCTTAGAGTGGTCTCCACCAGGCCACCAAAGAAATCGCAGGGCATTGCAGTCACCATCTGGCACCTTAACTTGATGGAACGTTGCCTCAATGTCAGCCATTAGGGCAATGGTTCTCTCTCTAAACCTTGGTGTCAGCACGCCAACCAGATTATTAGTAAAATCTGGTCCCTGCAGCAGTTGGTCATAACACCCTTGTTTTTGGCCCAGCAATCGAATACCACTTAGAGCTTCTCTGGCTTTCGTGGGTGGAACACCAGATGATGGGGCAGACACCACACTGCTTGTGGTACTATTGCTGTTTCCACACATCTCGGTGACTGCTCGCTATTGATACCTTCGGGCGTGACACTCAATGACGACTCCAATGGAGACATTTCTCTTGCATACTCCTTCTTGAAGTAGATGTCGAGGGTCTTCTTGTACATCTCATACAGACCAGGGTCTCGTTGAATTCAGTGACTGAAGTCTCGACTCAGCAAGGGTACGGTTGTCTGGCAAGCGTGGGTTCTGGCAACCTGGTAGTGACCATCAACCCTTGTCACTGTTTCTTCCAAGATGGTCTTTGCTCGTTTATCTTCTACTGAGACCTTATAACCTTGTTAATCTTTTAATGATTTTGGGAAAGTTGCGGTACATTGGAATTAAATTGAGAAACATCGGAATCATGAAGTATTCTTCACCTTTGACCTAAAAAGTTGTACAACAATAGAGGGCGCCCTAAAGACTCACTGGTGGAACATTTTACTGATAAAATAACCTCGCATTGTTAATCACTAAGGGAAATGCTGCAAAACCAGAATAACAAGGAACAATTACATAACATCAAAAACAAATTATTTGCCGCTACAAGGGCTCCTCTAAATTTGTCAATCAGATTTAATGAGACAAGAAAGAATTAGAAAAGAACTACATTGCGAAACTTGCAGACCCCTTCGCAGAAATAATGAACATTATTGCAAAACGCCTCTCGCAGAAAGTTTGTAAGCTCATGTTGGGGAAAACATGACAACCCCGAACATACATAATTGAGAAAGGTCGCTATAAGCTGGCACCGAATTTTAACTTAGGATGTACATGTAAGCAATTTTTAAGCGACAGCCTGTTCGCAGAAATACTAGTTGTGAGCATGTGATATATTGCAGTCCTGGGAGACTAGTATAATGCATATACACGCTAAGCTATTCTACCGGCTGTAATAAGCCCGCAATTATAGAAGCTTTATTGGAGCATTAAGGGTATTTCCTTATTTCAATTAAAAAGACTTTTCAATTTTACACAAAGCCAGTGAAATAAAGCTTTCATTGGACACGTAACCACAGTATCCACGAGTTCACTTCAGGGATGGGGGAGTTTTCACAGTATTATTTCGCTATTGTGGAGACTAAATATCAACCATTTTCAACCGCCAGCCTTTGCACGATGTGTTAATATACTGAAGGCTTCATCCTGTCAGCGCAGCGACAAAATGAAGCTCGTGAAGCGGAACAATGCGTTGAAAGCCACAGATCGTGTAGGCCTAACAGTAACAATTACGTCGTATTAAACTGAGTAGGTGGGATTGAGGGGCATGTAGTTGCTGCTCTGTCTGCCACGCTTGGTTGGCAATGCTGCCAGAAAGGAAACTTAGTGCATGCAGGCCATTAGTCTGATACTTGGCGCCTGTACTTGTTGGTTGGACTGTGACCTACTAGTTTCAAAATGGCGCGCCTCTTCCTGCTTTTGGCCGCCCTGTGTACCACAACTTGGGCGCAGTACTGGAATCCTCATATGGAAAAGGGCCGACACGTAATGGTCAACTTGATGTCCTGGAAATGGAAAGACGTTGCGGAGGAGTGCGAGAGGTGGGTGGAATGAGAGGAAAAACTTCAAGTTATCTTAACACTTGGTTGCAAGGGCACAAAAGGCTCCAGCCGATTGGCTAGTTCTACTTAAAAAGCCATTCTAGACACACGCCACGCATTAGGCGCTCTTAACATTTCTGGCATACACAGACATGCAAACATAAAGTGAAAATTCCTGCGGTCTGGAATTTGGCAAGTAAAAAACAGACAACCGAGGCTGGGAAATCTACGAAGCCTGCTCAATTTGAACAAACCAAATGACAGCTGCATTTGACATGGGTAGTAATGTACGGAGTGTAGAGTTGTAACAAGTCAATCATTTTTGTGACTCGAGTCGAATCGAGTCATATCACTAGTCGAGTCAACGTAACATACTGACTCAAGTCGAGTCATTAGGCAAAAGTCGAGTCGATTAGAGTTTAGTATTTTGCTCGAATCAATTTGAGTCACTAATATTTGAGCACTAATAATAGAAACAAGATATTTTGGCATTTGAAATTTATCTCTGGGTTACTACATGTGGTCACACCACATCTTACTCTTGATAACACGTGACATGAACATTATAAACCGGCACTGTAAGTCACTGCAAATTATCTTTTTGCAAAGAAGGTCGCTTTTATGGGGGGGGGGGTCGAGTCTTATTTACCTTCACTCGACTTGGGTCTCTTAATGAGGGACTGAAGAGTCAGGTTTCCAGTGACTCCAGCAAAGTCGAGTCGTTTACCTGTCGAGTCGACTTAGCCTTTCGTCAAGGCCTTTGTGTATGTGCAACTGCAAAGCAACTGGACAGGAGACCAGGCGAGTGGCGGTCCAGCCGCTTTGTAGTTACACATAAACACAGCCTCGCCGCGAAGGCCTTGACGAAAGGCTAGACGGGGCTCGAGTCTAGTCGAGTCGCCAAAAATTGTGACTCGAGTCGGACTAGAGCCCCTCCCCCGGCTGTGAAATAGTCCGAAAAACAGCTCTTTTAGGGTTTAACTACTTTCTGAGTTAGCAACGTCCACCATCACAAAGCAGAATACAAAATGGGTAATCACAATGTATTGTTAGCCTATTTACACCATGTTTTTTTTTACTTATGATTTTATATAAGCCATAATATGCGACCGTGTAACAGAATGCATCCATCGTCTCGTCTGTAGTTATTTAAAACCTTTGACATCTGTAGTTCTTTTAAAAAATGCAGTGTCACTATACCGCTCCCTGCCTGGAGTCGCCCCCCCCTAAACTGCCAGTTTTAATTAAACGTCAGTGTCCTTGATACGTAACCCTGTATGCTAACAAGACGGACATGCGAACTCGTCAGAAACTAAATACATTATGCCTAGACATCTAATGCCTGTGTAGATGGAAACACAGTATATACTATGCAGATGTTTCAAAATGACCCATCGCAGTAGAAACTATTGGGTATTGGTAATCTAACCCCTTTTATTTCTGATGTATTCGAATTAACATTTGTGTAAGTTTCTATGCAACCATTTTCAGTTCAGTAAACACGGCAGTATTAAGACATAAAGCCACAGACGGGTATATGCCAGGGGATGGGTATAGCCCCCAATCCCACAGTTCCCCTCACTTCCACAGACAAAAAGGGCTACCGGTATTTCATCTTAGCCCTGCATGATTGTAAAACTAATGGACACATCAGCCTCTCCAATCAACGGACTTATTTTAATCCGTGGGGTCTTCTCTGAAATGTTAACATGAATTTTTCCCATGCTATTCTCGCAAGGAAGGATTGCTGTATCAACATATCACATGAATTAAATCACCCCAAGTTAGTCTGCAAACAAATTATATCTGCAATAAGATAATGTAAATGTAAAACCAGGGTGCCTTTATGTGGACTAAAAACAGCAATATTAACAATATTCTTATCTTGCCAGTAATGGTAGGCCTGTTGTGATCATAGTTTTACATCATTGTGAGAGATTTTTTTGACTGTTTTCATCCTGCTGAGGGATCACGTACTATGATCATGATAGATGCGGTCTTTGTCGCTAAACACTCGCTTTAGTCTGGTGTGGGCCTATCGTCTGAACTCAGCCCGGAAAGGGCACGGTGTCACGCACGCTCCATTCTCAGTTTCAGATTTGTATTACAAACACCATTACCTTGGCCGAGGAGAAAGACTTTTTGTTATGAACTCAATAACCGAGGGCATTCCCAATTTCACCAAGGACATACGCATCGCCTGACGCTTGAGGCACGTAGTGTCCTCCACCCCCGGGCAAAAAAGATATCACCTATTACACATCATAAAAATATTTAGCAAACGAGGAGAGGAAGATGCATTAAACGTGGTTTCCTTGATATTCCAGTGCAAAAGTATTTACTTAAGAACAACCATTTCAAACTGTGGATTTCAGGTTTGGTTTTGCTCATTATTATTTGGTTGTATAGGCACTAAGCTGACGAAGACGATAAACGATTGTTCGGCCTGCAAGCGGGAATAATTCCCTTCATTTAAAAACTATGATGGTAACATTGGATGGGAGGTATCTATTAAGGCAGCCATGGGTCTGTACGTGTGAATGTAATAGCACCAGTAGACAGACAAGTTAAAAAAATCGATCGGCCAAGGATTGAGATTACAGACAGCGGTATCCACCTCGAGGAGAAGCATCCCCTCATCAGCTGGGGGAAAGCACATTCTACAGAAGAATGTTCAATGGATACATCTGTTGTCCATAAATCCTGGCCAGATTTCGTTGGGCTCTACCCCCTGGGCCCCTCTCAATGTTGGGTCTCAGTGTGCGGTCTTCTGTCCAGCTCGAGATGACATCATTGACCAGGACAGTGGGGGACCTGGAAAGGGTGTGGCTTTTGGCACATATCCCAGCAATTTTGTCCAGGATTGCTGTTCTTCGCGCCATAAATACACACAAACGCTGACGTATAGCCGTGGCTCCTAAAGTCTGTTTTGGACACAGCCTAGGTAGTATCCCTGGTTTCTGCCGCAAACTCAGAGGCAAACGGTTTTTGTGAGAAGGAATCGCGCGGGAACAGCCTATTCCCATCCTGTGAACGTGCATTGAATAAACGAGGAAGTTCATGTACGTTTATTAGCCAGGGAAGTGCAGTCCAAAAGGAGTCACCTTTGCTCACCCTGGGAACAGCAAACGCACTTCACAAGACCGCAAAGTACTTAGGGTTTGCTTGCTTTGTACATTCATACGCACGTGGAAATGTTGACCAATGTTATTTTTCAAATGAATTCTATTTGATGACTGTACTCTACAAAAATTACGTCCTTCTACATGATGCATATTGCATTTACCGTCCCAGCGCCTGCAAGAGAGGTAGGTGACAGCATGGAGCTATCAAACACAAGGAGTTAGAACGAAGTCCCTACAGACCGTAATCCGATAAACTGCTCCAGTCCGCTCCATAGACAAAGCACAGTTACCAGTCCCCGTGTTGAAGACCCTAGACAGTCTTTGTATACAGTGATCGCCACCGCCAGCTGGCTGGTAACCCACAGACTCGTCGTGTTTCGCTGCGTCATACTGGAGTAAATAAATGGTCACGGTGGAAAAGATGCACGAAGAAGAAGCGCAGTTCTCTTCAGTAGTCCTCAGGAGTCAGCGAGTGATCTCCGCAGCCTGCGCTTGAAAATTCCAAATCAGCGGTGATTATATGGCAAAAGTCGGACGTTTTGCAGGTCAGTTAACTTTACGTTTCCGGTGGTTGAGAACAAATACCCAAAATATGAACTGCGATATTTACATCATAAGTCGCAATCCTAGTGATTCCTAGGTTAAAAGAATGTGGAAACATGCCGCAGGAATGCATTTGTGGTGCAACGTGGTGAGGTTTCATGCCGAGACAGTTGTGGACAATGAGAGAAAGGGCAACGAGTCTTCCCATGTTTGCTTGTGTGTTTTATTTTACTCTGAACCAGCTACATTCGCTAAGTTTTCTTGTGCGTATTTATTGGAGAATTTGTATTAGTTAGTAATTCTGTTTATTGTTAAAAGAGACGTTTTGGGGATGTAAAGACGTAACCAGACTTTCGTTGTCAATGGAATATCGCAACAATCACTAAAATTATCGAAATTTAAGTCTCCGATGACGGTGGTTTCCGTCTCAAGGCGGCCATCGAACACGTGGAAGTGTTACGGACACGCATGCGCGGTACCCACGATCCTTTGCAAGTGCAACTCCGAGCATTCCTTGTAGCCTGCAAGCGGTGCGGAATTTGTTTTGTCCTTGTTGCACGCGCAGTGTTGGCGGTGGCCACCATTGATCGTTTTGATCTTTGTATGTACTGACTCCTTGTGTTTGATAGCTCCATGGTGATAGGTGATAGGTGACGAGCGAAATACCCTTTGAAAATTGCGCCCACTACACAGTAAACGGATATGTTTGTTGAGTCGGGGTACTTGCACTCCACCGGTTTAAATGATGGAAAGCCAGGTTAAAGGTTGGCCTGAAATTAACATGAAACAAATTAAGAAAATCCAGCATAAAACGTTTGTTCTCCTAAAGGTTTGGTGATAGAAGTGGTGTTTAAAAGCAATCTTCTGTTGAAAGAGTAATTATATGCCCATGTTCATCGGTCTTTCATGGTTGCTTTATTTCATAATGGCAGTTCTGTCGTGGTATCATTCGACTTGCCCTGTGCCGGACAGAATCCACCACACGGGCGAACAGTAGTCTGTGATCAGCAAGACAGGTGTTGGAATGGCAGGTGCCAGATACCGGACGCCAATTGCGTGGAATTGATTAGTTTGGATTTTATAAAAGACCAGAAAGAATACGATTACCATTTTCTTAAACAGATTAGTCACAAAGTCCCTGTAGGCGTTTTTTTTTGGGGGGGGGAGAACATACGCTGAACATACTTCTGGATAGTTTGTTCTTGTTCCAGGTTGAAATAGACCCTGTAAAGTGAGCTCTTCGAAAAAAGCTCCGTTTGTCGGAAGAATAATGTATGATAAATTCAAATTGTACTGAAAGGCAACTTCCACTTTTCAGACAATTTCAAGCGACAGACAAAAGAGGTTATTTCTATGTGGACATTATGAACCTATCTGTAATAATCTCAGATAGCAAAATAAAAAATAAAGTTTTCTTGTAGCAAATTTATAAGCAGATAATAGTATCTAATCAGTTCTTCATATGACAGTGCATACTTTAACTTATGTCATGCAGGTATCTTGGTCCAAACGGCTTCGGTGGTGTTCAGGTCTCTCCTCCCAACGAGCACGCCGTACTGCCGAACCAGCCATGGTGGCAACGCTACCTGCCAGTGAGCTACGAGCTGCAAAGTCGCTCTGGCACGGAGGAAGAGCTGAGGGACATGGTAAAACGATGCAATGAGGCTGGCGTCAGAATCTACGCCAATGCTGTCATCAATCACATGGCCAACGGGGGTGAGTCATCCAGAGGTAGTGACAAACATGGAGAAAAATGCCCTCATTAAAAAAAACAAAAACAACAACAACAGTGCTTTACAGGCATACTTTTTATTCTACTTTTCCCCCAGAAATGGCAGAGGGTTCAGCTGGTAATCCATACGACCCAGAAACACTTAGCTTTCCCAAAGCACCCTATACTGCCCAGGACTTCAGTGTTTACAACCAAAAATGTCCAAGAAAGAGTGGGAACATTGACGACTACAAGAATGAAGAGGAGATCCGCAACTGCAACCTCGCTGGTCTTCCTGATCTTGATACGTCTATCTATCATGTAAGGTATACTATCGCTGAGTACATGAACAAGTTGATCGACATAGGAATTGCTGGGTTTCATGTAAGCAATGCAGAAAACATTTGGCCTAACGATCTCGCTGCTATCTATAAGAAACTGCGTGATTTGAATGAAATCTTCTTTGAAGCCGGCAGCAGGCCGTTCCTGTTTCAAGAGGTCGACACAACAGCCGCAAATGCCAACATAATCAAGCCGATAGAGTACCTAGAGATGGGCAGCGTCACTGAATTTGAATATGGAAAGATTGTTTCGCTAGCTTTAAGAGGCACTGAGAATAATCTGGCTTCCTTAGGTAGCATAGAAGATAAGTTCTCACTGGTATCCAGCTCCGGCGCAGTCGCATTCGTGGATAATGCCGACACCCAACGCTCGATCCCCAGTATCATCACCTACAAGGAACCGCGTCTGTACTTGCTGGCGAACGCATTTATGTTAGCATATCCTTACGGTCTTGCTAGAGTAATGAGCAGCTACGATTTCACTTCGTTTGATGAAGGTCCCCCGTCAGACCTCCATGGTGCTATCTTGTCTCCCATTATCAATGAAGACGGTTCCTGTGGAAACGGGTGGGTGTGTGAGCATCGTTGGACTGCAGTGAAAAACATGATTGGCTTCAGGAACACATCTAACGGAGAACCGCTCGTAAACTGGTGGAGCAACAACAAACAGCAAGTGGCTTTTGGTCGTGGCGATAAGGCATTCATCGTTCTAAATAACGAAGACAAGTCATTCTCCGAGTTTTTGTACACAGGCCTGCCCGTTGGTGAGTACTGTGATATTATCGACGGGGACTTTGATCTGGCTTCCCGCGTGTGCACCGGGCGAGTCATAACGGTCGACGAGCTAGGTTTTGCTTCTTTCACTCAAAATAATGATGGACCTCCTGTTGCAGCCATCCATATTAACGCCAAGGTCAGTGATGAGGGCACTGTAAATGAACCAAGTAAAACACCATCGGCAAAAACTGAAGGACTAATCATTGCACCACCCATTCCACCATCGTTCCCACCGAGCCAAAATCATACCCTCGACAGTGCAAGCCCAGAATCTCAAAATTCTGCGACAGCTAGCACTCCTCAACCCACATTTAAGCGTACTACTGTATTCATTCAAAAGCAAACAGATTTCGGCCAGAATTTGTTTATTCGCGGTGGTCTTGGCGAGGGATGTACGGGTGCTTGTGCTATTCCAATCACACATATCACAACCGGTAACAATGCACAGTACAACGCTTGGAAGACAGGAGACAACTTCCTTGATTGGTATGGCGTAGAAGACGGCCAGAACACCTACAACAATGTTTCCGCTGAAGGAACACCTCTCATCTGGACAACCAACAATTCTAGCAACACTGCCAATGTTGCCACGGATGGATATGGCTACACACCCCTCAACCAGTGGGGAGCCAACTACTGGATGGTCGATCTTGAAATGGACTGCTCCAAGACAAATGGTGGTTGGTTTGAGTTGAAAGCCTTTGTCATGAACGGAGTGGAATGGGAAAGTGATGTTTCACAGAACGAGGCATGCCAGGGTTCTCCTGGTGGAAACAAACCATCAAACAGCATTAACCATTTCGCCAGATGTGGCTATATAAATGTCTTCAAGTTTGGTGAGAACAAATGTACTATTGACGAATACGGATTACAGCCTACACAGACCATCCCTGAAGAGCCCAGTTTAAGCCAGAGTCCCGAAAATTCTGCGACTGAAGCAACAAGTGTCCCTACGGCTAGCACCCCTCAACCCACATTTAAGCGTACTACTATATTCATTCAAAAGCAAACAGATTTCGGCCAGAATTTGTTTATTCGCGGTGGTCTTGGCGAGGGATGTACGGGTGCTTGTGCTATTCCAATCACACATATCACAACCGGTAACAATGCACAGTACAACGCTTGGAAGACAGGAGACAACTTCCTTGATTGGTATGGCGTAGAAGACGGCCAGAACACCTACAACAATGTTTCCGCTGAAGGAACGCCTCTCATCTGGACAACCAACAATTCTAGCAACACTGCCAATGTTGCCACGGATGGATATGGCTACACACCCCTCAACCAGTGGGGAGCCAACTACTGGATGGTCGATCTTGAAATGGACTGCTCCAAGACAAATGGTGGTTGGTTTGAGTTGAAAGCCTTTGTCATGAACGGAGTGGAATGGGAAAGTGATGTTTCACAGAACGAGGCATGCCAGGGTTCTCCTGGTGGAAACAAACCATCAAACAGCATTAATCATTTTGCAAGATGTGGCTACATCAACGTATTTAAGTTTGGTAGGAACGAGTGCACCATTAAAGGCTATAGTCAAGGGCCTAGTAAGGCCCCGCCTGCATTAGAAACCATCACTCCAAGTCCGAGTCAACCTCTTAGTACTACTTCTCCTACTCAAAGTCCGTCATCTGATAAGAGCAAAGATTCAAAATCAGAAAATGAGGCAGGGTCCACCGCAGAGCCACGAGTTTCGGGCAAAACTAAATTTTTCACCGATGTCCCGAAGGCTCCAAATACTGAGTCAACACAGAAGCGCACTATCATTTTTCTCAAGAAGGTTACATATACTGGTCAGCACGTTTTCATTCGCGGTGGCATCGATCACGACCATCGATCCGGATGCACCACTAATGTGAGCACCAGTGCCTGTGCTATCCCAATTAAACACATAACACCGGGTGAAAATTTTCGATACGACGCCTGGAAGACAGGAGACAACTATCTAGACTGGTATGGTGCTGAGAAAAGCCAGAATTCTTATCAGGGGACGGCATCTCAAGGTACCCCTCTCGTCTGGACGACGAACAATCCTAGTGACACAGCCACCCTGGCCACGAACGGATACGGTTACACGTCTCTCAACCAGTGGGGAGACCACTACTGGATGGTCGAGCTCAAGGTGGACTGTGCAAAAACGGAGGACGGATGGTTTGAATTGAAAGCATTTGTGTTGAATGGAGAAGGTTGGGAAAGTGACATTTCTCAGAGTGAATCTTGTAACGGGTCAGCCGGAGGCAACAAACCTTTTACCAGCATTAACCACTTCGCAAGATGTGGGTTCATCAACGTCTTCAAATTTGGTGAAGACGAATGCACCATTGACACTCTCTAGGACTTACACAAAGGAACTTATTCTGATTTTCAGAATTTTACCCTGAATACTGTCATTTAATGTTTCTTTTTTAACTGCGGCAAAACTTTCGGCGAAATTGTGACAATTTGGAGGTATCGTCAAAAGTCTTTTCGGTACATTCCACTGATTACAGCATCATCAAGGAAACTCATGCATTTGGTCAAAAATTGGTTAGGCCTACGGCCGCTAAGTCAAACCAAAAATAAGATGAAAACGAAGACATTTTAGGCCGTAGAAAGTGGCGAATCGCTGAATAAAGGTGGAGGTTTTGTTTTTGGGGTTTTTTTGCATAAATTCTGATTTTTGGGGGATTTTAGGTTTAATGCTAAATTGTAAATGAGTGAAGGTACACAGGAATTTCAACATTGTTGATAAACCAGCGTTAGGTTCAGGGTAGGGTTTGTTAGTTCATTGGTTTGTGACAGTATGAATGTAATGGTGTCAGGGCGTTTTAAAGAAATAATAAGTACAGGTTAAAAATAAAATGTTGATCAAATGACAGCATGGTAAAACGATGCTATGGGCAGTTTTACTATTTCTCTATTAAACAAGAGAAAATACTAGTTAGATTAAGGATTAGGATTAAGTATGCTAGTCAGTTTTATAGTGATAATTTAAGATCAACTTTTTTTTACCCCTTTCCACAATTTGGGCAAGGAGTTGTATTTGGAGCCCACCAACATAAACCTCCTATGACTCATTTATATTACAGTGCTTCTGCAATGTAAAACGCATGCCATTAATAAGTTCGCAAACTTGGCTTTCCAACACAAAAAAGAATTTGTACATAACTGGCTGAAGTACAGTTCCGGTTGATGCGCCTCCCGTTTTCTCTTTTGTGTGGTATAAATGTTAATACCTTTTGGACTACTCTTTAGGTAAGATCAAGTTAATGACAAATTTAGTATAAACAAAATTGTGGCTTGATAGAATCCCTTGTACCCAGCAGCATCAGTTTTGTTTCAAGGGACCTCTTTGTTTGAAAAAAAGAATCTGCAGCTAAAGCCTACACATTCTGTACGGCCCAGACAAGTTTTGTTTTTATTAATCGCTTAACACCTGTGGTTAAATTTGACGGACTGATCCAACGAGATAAATAAGAAAAATATCGTGAAAGAAAGCAATGATTCAAGACTATTAATTTCAGGAAAAAACTGTTGTATTTTTCAATCACGTATAGTGTCTTTGATATAATTCAATAAGGTTATTTCATATTATTACGTTACATTAACCCTACCCCCGGGGTGTATGTAAAGTGATATTGACATATTGACACGGACACTGACAATTTCATTGTGGAAGAAAAAAATGTGAAAATAGAACGAAACAAACAAGGCCGAAGACAAATCAACAAACGGGGTTTTCAACTGTTACATGAAGTCTATGAAATTGTTTTAATGTATGAAAACAAAAGTGCGTTTGAAGAGCCGTACTTGTAAGCGATAGATCGTTTTAGATGATTTGTAATTGGTTTTGTGTTAATAAAAGCATGCTTGAGCAAAATGAATGTGAATACATGTAATTATTTGAGACTCTGGAACAGTTTTGGTCGTGTAGTGAAGTAAGTTCAGACGGTTTAATACAGGCTGCAAAGCGTCTAGCGACAAGCGACAGCACGCGATCACATCATCTTGCTTGCTTAGATTGTAAGCTTGTCTGGCATCTTCTAACAAGGTCACACGATTCAATGTGCAAACTGTAACGCACAATGAGATTGCAATATTGTTGGAGACTACCAAAAATGAACTCTCTTCAACTTTGTAGTGATGTTCAAACCTTGGGGGATTGATGGAGCAGTCGCCTTGGGAGAACAGAATTCTCAATGGATCACCTCGGTATTATATGAAGTCCCTTTTCAATCTGTAAACGAATCCTCACCCCCTCCTTCCCCTATGGTGCTAGTACTATTTCAAAAGTGTCGATGCTTCCTCCAAAATGCCCTGTGGGTAGGGGTAAACCCCAACCCAACTAGATTCGCCGCTGCTTTTTCCAGTCAAAACGCAACTTCCAGGGCTCTCAGCTGCGTATTACCTTTATATTTTAGATATCAATTTCTCATGCCCTTTCCAACATATTAAATTTTTGCATATTCCAAATTCTGGAACAGACTCGATAAAAGGACAGAAAACAATGAAAAAAGTATTTCAGAAAAGTTTTTTCACAAAATAGCAAGTCTTGGCTAATGTATTACATTTTGTTGCCTTTATTTCTAACATTTTTTCCTCTTATTAAATATTCCCTCTCTATCATTTTGACACACAGCTGAACTGCCTAAACCTTACAAATGGCCAATATACAGAGTGCATTTACAATGGTTGTAATATCAAACTACATCACTGTTAATGTATTTTAAAGCAAAAAAGAAGGATATTTGATTATCTTCACAGAACTACATGAGAATTTTCTCAGGGATACAGAGAGAAAGCAGATGGCATGAAAAACTGAATTCTACAGAAAAACTAAGAAAAGAAAACTAGGTACAGGGAAGGAAACAAATAGAAAAGACTTAAAGTAAGGGGGTAATAAAACAGTTTTGACCATCTTACTAAGGAGAGATATACATTTCAAAGATAAAGATAAGACAAAAGTCAGGGGATAGTAAATTGAAGAAACATTTTTTTAACTATTTCCGCTTAATACTGTGGTTACGAAGCACAAATTACCTTCTTATAAAAATTATTGGCCTTATGTAACCTTCAGATAAAAACCCCTCCGAAATAAATCATTCTTTTTAATTTATACCAGTTGTTCACACAAAAAAGCAGTTATCAACGCAATTCACATAATTTTCAGATACACAGCCTGGAAAATCTTAAGTCAGAGTCTTTTAAAAAAACAATGTGTCCAGTACATCAGTTCCGTGGGCTATCGCTGTTAACCATTCACACCTTGATGTTGCAGTTGCTGGTGCAAATGCAGTCGTGCGGCAGCTCGATGTCCCTGTAGAGGTCAACTGGCTGGGACCGGATAAGGTCAGTGCGGGTCTTCATCAGTGTCTTGGTCTCCTCCAGGTTCTCAGAAGCCATGCAGAAGAACGGCACCTAGAAACAAAGTTGAAGGAGGTTCATTCAAAGACCTGAACACCGTTCACAGATTTCCTTTAATCTCTCAAAATCTTTCCTCCATCTTCTAAAGCTGAAAATTCTTTCCTCATCTTTCGATTTTTCAAGTGTAAAGCCAGGCCATGGAAGAGTACAGTTCAAATGCACTGATTGGGATATCCAACATTAAGTGAACAACACTACCAAAACTTTGGATTGAGTTGGAGAACAGCCCGATCATTTAAGCCACGATGACCTCGTGGCTGATCAAGCTTAGTGCACCCACGTAAATTCTGCCCTTAGTGCACCCATGTAAATTCTGCCTGGCACACCAACGCAAATGTGAGCTTGGTACAAGATTATAAGAAAGCATTACCAGGTCAGATCCGCCAATCAAATCCTGGGGGCTGGGGGATGCTCTTGTCTATCCTCGTACCACAAGATTCAGTTTCATTTTTTAGTGTCACACAGCAAAATGTACAGGATGGGTGAAGTCAAATGCAGCAGTGTGCAGGTGTCTCACCTTAACAAACTGCTTCTTGGGCACAAGGGTGCTTGTGAAGATGTTCTCGGGAGACTCGTTGTTGCAGCCAATGGGGCAGAGCTTGACAGGCTCCTTGCTAAAGCAGACAGCCGGCTTGTTGGCCAGGTACACCGTCTCGGGCAGAGCATACAGGTCCTCCTTCGTCAGCTTGCAGGCTGCAAACAAACAAACCATAATCTCTGTGTCATCAAACTTAAAAGTGACTTGGTCCGAATCGGATCTATAAGCCACTTGGTCAACTACCCTACAACCACAGTGCAAATGAACTGATCATGACCCTACACTTTTTGGGTAAAGGTGGACAGGGATGAATCCATCACACCTCAAGGAATTATGGCTCTTCAAATCAATTGAAACTTTGACACTGGAACTGTATCAATAATGATTTTGCTGCCAATATACTTAAATTTCACCAAATATTCTTCCCAAGTGTCAACTATAATGTAATATTTTTCGATAAGGACCTGAGGGTACCATTTTTCAATCAGGACCAGATAGTATCAATGAGCCAATTTGTGCTTCTGACATTTACAAAAGATCAAGCTCTTTTACTTCCAACTGCTTAAAATGAAGTTGGGCATACAGATCTCTGACCAGACAGACAAATATGGCAGCAGCATAGAGTCAGGAACCCGGCCAGACCAAGATGGCTGCCAAGTACTTACTTTCGTCCATGCAGTCATCACCATGAACCAGCCAACTGGCACCAAACTTTGTGCTGTTGTTCACCTCCTCGGCTGTTGTGTTCTTCATTTCACGGAAGATCTCACCGTTGAAGTCACCGCACATACCTAGAGAAAAACAAACCAAAAAGAGCACTTTCTTTAATGAAATATCACAAGCTCAGCCTATCTTATAGCTTTTAGAACAGGTACACATACAGAAATCCAGTGTCCCTCTGATGAAAATTTAGTCCAAGATAATTTTGGCTACTTCATGATCTACCACTTCCTCAGATCTTAAAACCCCTTCCCTCATAAAACTGTTTTCTACTCCTTTAGTTCAAGTTGAGGGCACAGCTAAAATTCTGATATATATATACATATTTTTCACTTTTCTGAAAGCCTATATTGTCAGTGCTTTTATATTGTTCATCATGTACGAATGAAGTTGATAAATTCCGAAACGATTTGAGGATTGGGAAGACTTCAGGCCACTTACCGCAGGTCTTGTTGACATACCACGGTGACAGGGATGTTGTGACATTGTGCTTGCAATAGACAACTGTCAGTCCAATTTTGGCCTTCACAGTGATGTGAGTGTGGTTGCGCTCGATGATGCAGGTATCAGTCTCAATTGGTGTTGAGTCACGCTGGGTCAGGTGCTCAATGCCATTGTACTGAATTTCAGAAAGAAAAAGCAAAGCATTAACTGGCAAGGTTAGATTCAACGGATCCAAACATCTTCAGAAAAGTGAGCCTTTTGCTGGGGAATCGGCTCAGTTGTACATGCTCACCTTCATGTAGACCTCCTCATCATTACGTGTGATCAGCTCAATCTTGTGGTTGTCAATGTACACGGTGACCAAGGGGTTGGTGCGGACCAGCAGGTTGGACTGGCGAGTGTTCTGCACCAGGACGGTGAAGCGCTTCTTGGGCGAGCAGTCCTTGGTCAAGACGTGAGGGCAGCTGCCGGTTAGGTTGTACTTGTAGAACAGCTGGTCGTAGGTCACGAACGTTCCAGTGTGGTTGTATGTGCAGTTGCCTGTGTAAGAGAGGATTGAGAATGGCAAATGAAGCACATACAACTCCACACACGCAACAAGTGAGAAATGATCCCACGGACACCCTTCCATTTGCACCTAATTTACAAACTAATGCAAGTCCTTCACTGAGCAGGCCATACAACTTATGGCAATTTTAAAGTTCCAACTGAGAGAGTTGGTCTAAAAAATGATGCGACAGTGCAGTAAAGACAGTCATAACAAATTGACATACCAGACAGGAACTTTTCAGTCAGGCGCCTCTGGATGGTGGCCACAGCATCTGGAACATTGTATTTCAACACGGAGGTGTTGACAGGAACTGTGACATTGACCACTGTAATCTTCTCAATGGGTAGATGGATCTCAACATCCATGGTGTAGTTGGTCTTGATCTGATAAAAGCCCACACATATCAAACTTCACTAGGAGAACCCGCGGTAAAAACAGATCTTCACTCAACATTTGTACAGAATGGTGCATGTAACATTTTCATACTAAATTTGCACATGACAATTTTTTTCTGGCAATGGCATAGAATTTACAGTCATGTCATCTTATTGCCTGTAACAGTGCCTGTACTTGCTCTTCATGGAATGGCTCATTTGTTGGAATAAGGTGCCTGAAGTCTTGTGTTGTTCTACTTTTCACACTGTGTATCAGAATCAGGCAGCATTTTCCTTTCTGGCGGTTGTTCAGCAGATTATTTTAATACGCAATGGTTGCCCGACAATGCAGTGGGATATACAGTTTGACTGACTATCCACTTCTAGAGTTACATACACAAGTCAGGCTTACCTTGAGGGAGACAGTGGTGGAGTTAACAATGGGGTTCAGGAGAGGCTCAACAAAGAATTCGGTGTCGGTCGTCTTCTTGATGGCCTCCAAGACAACAGGCAGAACATAGGTCTTGGTCAGGTAGGTGACCTGAAGATTGAAAAATGCCAAATTGAGAGAGAGATTGCAATTGCTTGTAATGAAGTCATTGTAAAGGCAAACCAGATTACAAGTTCTGGAGAAGAGAGTCCAGGTTTCCCTAGAAGGAAAGGTCATGTAAGGTCAACAAAGAAATACATGTATGGAGAAGGAGCAAAGAACATGATATGAGACTACACTCATGGCGGACCATGTGTTGAACACAAATACAGTTTCAAGAGGATATTGAAGTAGCACACTCCTAAATTCTGCTGCTGTTAAAGTTTATCAATTTTTGATCATTTTTCAAATTAAAATTTTTGCAATTATAGAAAACAATACCAAAGTCAGAGACTGTACCACCAAGACAAATCAGATGGGCAATGATGCCTTTCGTCAATACTGTGTTACTGAGACTTCACAGGCGAAGAAAATGCCTACACATTTCAGCTTCAGTTTGAACTCTTGCTGACATGCATTCCTTTTATAATGGAAAATTCTGACCGACTTCGTCTTTCCCCTCTTTCTTCTTTAATTTTCTTCCAAGGAATCTTACATTCTTCAGCCACTGCGGCAACTCAGCCCAGAAGATGGTGATGTTGCGGGTGTCGTTAAAGGTCCAGCTCTGGCTGTTGATCTGCAAGAAGTACTCACGGGTCAGCCTCATGTCGGTGTTGTTGATCTTGACAACATGGTCGTGGGGGTTGCCCCAGTAAGCCTTCAAGTCAACCTCCTAGAAATCCAGGGAAAGGAAATGAGGACAGTGAGACTCATTGACACTTTGCCAATAATTTGAGTTCAAAACAGGAACTATAGTCAAGTGGGTACAGAAACCAGACGAGAAAAGAACTGAAATGTCTTTTTGAACTCAGATGGGTATGAATTTTTTCAGCAAAATGATACCATTTCATCATGTGTACTTATTTGCATGATTAAAAATCCACAAAATATTCCTCTGACTTTAAGGCATACCACACTTCACATTGAGAAATGTTTTACTGGTTTATCAACAGGGTGCCATCTAAACACCAAATGAAAATTGTTAAAGTTATAAACCTTTTAAAAGCACTTTTAGGAGAAGGAGGATGATTTTGGTCACTGTTAATCTGTAACATTAGTTCAATACTACATCAAACTTATTTGATCCAACAGGTAAAAAGTGGGGAACTTACTCCATCCATGTTGACAGCCCTGATCTCGCTGCGCCATTCCGGGTGTGCGCTGTCGGTGACTTCAAGCACGATCCTCTTGTTAGGGTGGTGGATTCTGACGTTGAAAGTTGTGATGTTCTCATACTCCATCAGGTCATGCTTCAGGCCCATGGTGGTCATGACGATGTCAACATTCTGAAACCAGAGACAAATCAACCATTAGAGATGACTGCCAATAAGTTTTAACATTGCAAGACCTTTGATTAATCAGCACCCTAATTGGCATTGCTGTCTATGGCTTGTGCCCCTGACGATAAAAAAAAAATTAAGCTGTAGCCAAAGAAGTCCAAATTTAGACACTGTCTCGACTGCACAAAGTCTGCATCTGCATTCAAAGGTACCTTTGGCAACAGTTTGCAGAGAATAATTTTGACCTCTAGCAACAACAGCCTGGGTGTGCGTGTTAAGGAAAATAAAAATCCCATTTGCTGGCTTGCAATACTTGGTGTGTCACTGTTACTTTACATTACAGTTACTGTATTGTGTTTCAGGCCCTTATTTATGTGTCAAAAATTTCTACTTTTGAAGGTAAATAACAAGCAAAAGGTTATGAAAGCACTGAAAAGAGGAGACTAAGAAATTCATGATGAAAATTTGACAGGTGCAGGCAAGAGTAAAGTGATAAACACTGTCCTAACATTGATGCAAACAATGACTGAAAATGTGCTTCTTAAACCAGACAATGCATACAGTAAAGACCCTCAGTTTGTTTGTACACGAATTGGCCTGGCATTGGATCAGGTGGTGACTGAGGTGAGACAGACAAGCACCTTCTCGGTCTCCCAGAGCTCAGGGTTGTTGACCTGGTACTTGAACTTGATGATCTTGGGCGAGTACACTGTCTTGTTCTGGAAGATGGACAGGTAGCTGGGGCCGGTCAGTGGGTGGTATGGCGAGTTTGGATGACCCAGGCGGGGAGTAAAGGTGACATTCAGGCACAGCTTGGTGTCGTTGATGGGCTCGATGCACAAGACCTTCTGTATGGGTAGGGAGGGGGAAAAAAACGCCGTTGTTAATTTGAAAGATCACAAATTTATCTAGAGAGGTTACAGTCGGTTTCTACTGATGTGCCTTTTGAAAATCCACACCAACTATGCAGCTATCAGTTCAAGGCCTTCTCATGAAATGCCCAAGAATTACATCCCTCCAGAAAATAAGAAAATCTAAAGATTCTGCTTGTCGGTGAAGTAATGAGTTTCATTTGTTTGAGAGAAAGTGAAGCTTTGATTCCTCTTTGAAACAATGGCAATAATCAAACATACACACTGGCTCTAAGCAGGGAATGCTGTGAGAGCAGTACGTGCATTTATGCAAAATATAGCCCCTAGGTTTTCATTGCACAAGAAAAACTCAGGAATTTCAAAAAGCAAGGGCAGTCTGCATACCTTGACGGGCTTCCTGTTGGTGAGGGTGGTGTTAACAATGGTCTGGTTCTCCATCTCATCCTTCTTCTGCCAGAAAGTGTAGATCTTGTGACTGAGGGAGAAAATAGGTTTGAATGAGAAATCAGTGAGCCTATTCTCCCTATCTAATCGATTTCAGTTTGAACAGCCACATTGCTGAACTATTGAGAAATATTCTACTAGAAGGCAATTAAAGCAAAATTTTCAGTGTATGATTCAAATTCAACAAGATGATTCGAGAGAATTTCAAACAGGAGGCCAATCTTTCTTGCAATTGCCGTTAATTATTGCAGTCATAATCCACAAGGACAAATGAACATCACACAAAGATTTATGGGAGTTTTTAGTTTTGCTGGTGAGTGTGAATGGATTTTTGAACATCTTTCCATGTAGAATGTAAAAAATAAAGCAAACCTTGTGCACCTATGTGGCTACTTACGTGAAGTTCAGGAAGGTCAGGTTCCTTTCGATCTGAGGGAAGATCACCTCATACTTCTTCTTGGTGAAGTCAATGCTAATGTTGGTGTGCACGGGCAGGGTGACGTTGAAGGTAGAGTTGATTGCCGACCCAAACTTGATCTGGGGGATGTGGCAGCCCATCTTGAAGAAAGCATTGACAACCACCCTGCATAGGGATACAGGATAGAAACGTCACAAATGTAGAGTTGATGCCTGAAGTGACGAAAGTGGCTGAAGATTCTGCACATGGAGGTCCTGGATTAAGTCTCAGGATTCTTCTCAAAATAACCAGCACATGCTCTGGCATTACTGTGTGGAAAAAAGGTTGGACACAGAGGGGTTCTTACTCAGGTGTGATGTTGAAGGATCCCTTGAGGGTATTCTGGGTCAACAGGAGGGATGGGTCAGCCTTGACTGTAGCATTGACCTTGATCCTCAGGATGCTGGCCACTGTGGTGTTGTAAGACAGGGGCATGCCCATGATGGTCGGGTGCTGGAACATGTGGTCCATCAGAATCATTCCTGGGGACAGGGAAACAGGGCAAATCAGCACATGGGGCAAAATCTCGAAAATGTATACTGGGGCGACTCCAGACAAGACTCGATGAAGGTGGTGGACAGGTGAATTGTGCATCAGGGGATGCAGAGAAATTGACTCTCCTGGCATGCCTGGGCTCTGGGCTCAAGACCCAGGCCTTAGGAAACACCATGACTGCTGTGGCACCACACTTATACATAAATGCTCAAACTTGAGGCTCAAGTTCACTTTAGCAAGCCATTACACCCTTTTGGTCAAAGAGGAATAATGTGACACGAGAGTACTCCCAGCTAATATGAACACGAAACAGCTGCAGTGGTGGTCTTTGATTCTGAGTGCACTAACTTCCACTTGCCATACCCTTTGTGGTGTTGAACATCTGCTTCTTGGCCAGCTCTTCATCCAGGCTGGTGAAGTCGGTCATGAACTTGCCCTCCTTGATCAGGGTGGTAAGGTACTCCTTGTTGACATCCATGTCCAAAATGCGGTTGCCTACCAGGCTGATGTAAAGCCGGAAGCGGGGGTCCTCGGGGGTGACCTCGTATGGGCTCAACTGGAGAAAATTTGAAAGTAGGAACTCAGGAAATCTGGACAATGCCAGCATGTTCTTGTTTCTAAATATTCCTTGCTCATTAAATCCTACTTATCTGAGATCAAATTGGATCAGATGTTAGACAGAGCCTAGATTGCAAAACAAGCAACTCAGATTGTGTTGGAACAAATTCAGTGAATATTTAACAGTAGCAAAAACCTTTAAGTCACTTCAACGCATTAGCCAAAGACTCTGAAATCATGATGCTGCTTACTTTCTTGTTGATCTTGTTCAGTTCCTCCTCATTGCTGCTCACAGACCGCCTCTTCCTGTTGCTCTCCTTCAGGAGGTCAAAGATACTCTTGCGCTTGTAGAAGTGGCCGTCAACACCAAACATCTTATCCAGGAGGTTGGTCATTCCACTGGTCTTCATCTCAACCTGAGAGAACGAAACAAGGAATGAGGTGTTGTGATCCACTTTCACAGAAACCTAGTAACAGAAAGCTGTTATTGGGCAAAATTGAGCATTTCCACAGACTACCTCAATTTCCATGTAACAATGAAAAAATGTCTTGGGCCTGTCTATATTTTCTTTTCTTTCTGCAATACTCCATAATTCACTGATTGTCCAGAATACTTATACATCTTGCAAGATTTGGGAAAAACCACTCCAGCCCATGCTTAATTGCATAAAATGCCAAGACGGCTGTAACTCATGGAAACTTACACTTTCTAGTGTTTTTCTCCATTGGCATATTGTGTCAATTTTTGGAGTTATAAGCATGTGAGCTTTTTACCAATGAGAACTCCACTAGCCATTAACCACTTCCTGCTGGGGACTCCAGAATCGGAAATGTATGGTTTATATGCGTGGCTGGGGTCTCCGAACTCGGACAAAGGAAACAGGGCCCTGTAACAAAAGACCGAATTCCGAAAAAAAGACCAGGCTGCTGGGCATTACCAACATTTTCACTCTCAAAAGTGGTGATAATCCAGCCTTGTTTTGAAACTGTATACCAGGGTTTGGGGCATAGAGAGCCAGCGGATTACCACTGGAGACAAAAGCGCTCCACC